CGCTTCACTTTCGAGGGTAACGTGATACGCGCGCAAATGCGACCATCGCTTGGCGCGAGTAAAATATAATACCATTGGTCGGTTAGGTGTCACCCCTGTACTCGCCCTGCATTTTAATCGGTCGTCCGTCGATGGGAGTTTCCGGAGAACTTATCGAATCCCAGGGAAAGTAGCTTCCACGACTTTAACTGCTTGCCAGTTTACAGATTCTGATAATTGGGTCACTATAACCAAGTTTCATACCGTTCGAGGTCTAAAAAGGCGAATACCGGACCGGGTGACGACGTTATTCTTCGAGTTATTCGGTTTTTTACATCGGTGCGCGTAACAAATAAGAAATGTCTTTCATCGAATCACCTTCGATTTCCGCGCCCTGGAGATTGAAAATCTCTTCTTTCCGGATACGGTTACAAATCGGGATCCGAAAATGCTCGAACGAAGAAGAAGCGTAAGAGCTGCATTTGACGTCGAGAGATTTCGACGCGTAGGATTCCAAGGCGCGGTGAAAATTGTCAATTGCAAAGGCGGATGGATGGCGGACGGGCAGGATTAGAGAAACGATGGGGAGGAGGGGGGGGAGGGGAGGGGGTTGCTCTTGATTATCTTGGTCGGTCGAAGTGCGGACGTAGACGCGACGATGGAACGGTGAGAGGCGAAAATGGAAGAAAAAAAACACAGGGAAAGCAGAGGTAATGCGAGAGGCCGGTGAATACGTGGTCGGGATTTTTCACGAATCGATTATGGCAATTCAATCAGGAACGTCGAGGCGGGGGACGAGGATTTGTCGTTTGCGACGCGAGGCGGACGTCGAGATGCGGTTTATCCCAAACTTCCATCCTCTCGGATGTTCTCCATCCGTTCCATCGGAATCCTTGGTGTTTTCTTTCCGTTTCCGGGGAACTGGATAGCGCAGAGTATGAAAGAGATTCTCGCGGGAGAAAAAGAGAACCAGACCGGAGGAAAAAGGTTACGAACAGGACTGGAAAGTTTGTCGAGCTACCTCGCGGTGCGTGTGGGAGATTAGAGGGTCGGAAAATTGAGGAAGGAATTTATATACTTTGATCCCGAGAATGAAAACACGCTGGAATAAATCGTTTCCGATGATTTCGCGGCGTGATGTTGTTCGCAATCGGTAAGTAGATTAGGTCACGTTGTGTACGATGTCGGATACCAGCAAACTAATATTGTCGAGTGACGAATGAATAAACATGAGCTGGGCCAGTAATCAGTGAGACAGCGGTAATATTCGAAACGGGGGGGAAGGGAAGCGAGATATACGCGGCAATAGGCGATTGATGTGGAATTAAACGGGGTGATTTGGAATAGCTTTCGAAGCTACAGGGTGTTCCATTCGTCGAGCGTTTTAAAGTGGAACCTGGGTCCGGGAACATCGAAATAGTTTGGAGAAAAGGCTTTCCTAGTATATTCTTGTCCGTGGCGGGACCCCGGCGTGTTCGCATCTTTTTCGAAGTTTTTAATTCCTGGCTGCCGCGTATCAGACGCGTCGGAGCAGGAGATATGCGACCTTACTAACGGCCCCCGACGTTTAAAGCGCTTCGCGCCGTAATTTCCTTGATTAAGCCGAGATACGTGGCGAGTTGCCAAGCAAGGGTGGAAGAGAGAGAGAGAGATGGAGGTCGAGGGCGAGGGCACGAGTGTCCGCTCGCTCGTAAATAACATCGCGAATTAAGCGTGTAATTTCCGCGCGAATTACGAGCGCGCGAGAACGCTACACGGACTGCCTCGTTCATGTTCGATACCTTCGTTATAAAATCAAAAAAGGAGGAGGAAAAAAAGAGGTGACGGAAGTTGGAAAATTTATGATCGCAACGACGACAGACCCCTCGCGGAGTCCGTCAACGTCGGATACGGTCAACGACGCATGATCGATGCCGTCGTGCAATCCGATTACGCGACAACATTTTTATGGCGTTTGTCGTTTTAATACCTTGTAACTCATTCACTTTGTCAAGCGACGGAATTGATAGTCGTCTCCGTTAAGTAACGCGGCAAACTCGTCGACGAGAGACCTCCGTTTTCGACGGGAATCGTTGTTTCGTTTACCGTTTGCAACATTCGTTACAGCTCGACGGTGAACCGTATTTCGCCGATGCCAGTGAATATTGCACGGTGCGGTGCCGTATACTAGGTTTGAAACAGACCGTGCGACAAAAGGGAACAATCGCGTATTCGATATTGTACGTTTAACCGAATCGTATCGTTGCAAGTGAATTAATCTTTGTTTCCGAAACAAATTTTCGATATTTACTTTGACGAATGCGAGACTTTCCATCGATATGCTTCGATATCGGTTGACGGTATCGCTGGCGAATATCGATTATAGGCGCGTTGGAAAATGACCTTTCGTCGAAGATTGAGGACGCGAGGGATCCAGTACGCATCTGTTTCTAGTGATTGATGCGTAGATTGCGTCCGCGCGACGTGCACCTGCGTCTCCTGGATCCTTCGTTTCGTTTTCGGATACCCGGAGGCGTGCTTCTAGAAACGAAAGAAGCGACTTCTGTTTTCCTGGAAACTTTTTTGTTCTCATTTCTGACGGCATGTTCGCTCTCGAAGACTTTTCGTGCTTTTTCAGATCTCGAATGTATTTACTCGTCTATTCACGAAGCACTATTTCAGAAGTAGCTACAATTCCGGGCGCTCGCAAAAGGTGAGCAAAGGTTTGAATCGTAATTAAATTCTAAACACGATGAATTACGAAATTCGAAACTATTCATCCCCAAGTTTGCCTTGTCGCGAGACGCGGAGGTAAGAGTCTGTCTTCCTACTACCGCGACAACAGACTGTTCCATTACAATTCACGCGTACGAGCAGTGTACGAGGTTGTTACAAGTGTCGCCCCGTGTTCTATGAGTCAACAATACTCTTCGAAACTCTCCTTCCCTTAGGAATAACAAGTACCCTTCCGGTAGTCGCAACAAGTGTATTCGCGAGCCTGTGCATTCGTCCCATGTAGAAATCTAGCGATAAGAAACAATCTCTTTGCGTTCTGGCATTCTTTTCGGAATTAGTACGTCGAAAGGAACGAGCAAGCGAACACGGAAGCGAGTGTAACGCGGTTTCTAGATATTTCGAGACGATTCTTCGCCTCGGTAATACGACTCGTCCTCTCGGAGGTATAAATATTAAGAGATTTAATCGAGTAGACTTTGAAACTGAAGAAGAAAAGTGACGTACGGACGGGAGTACTTTCTCTCAACTACATTTTCTCGATCGTACTGTTGACTCTGGCGTCTGGCTGTCGTAAAGTATCCGAACTTCTCCCCCTTCGCTTGCAACTTACTTTTCTCGTTTAAATATTTGACCGAGTGAAATAAGTTTCTCGCATTCGGCCTGCCACCGTCGAGAGCGATCGATTGGTCATTCGAGTACTGCCAATTATACCGACTGGACGTTGCCGTTCTTTTCGGAAGTCTGCCTTTTGATCGAGTTAAGTTAAGTTAGTTAAGTTAAAACATTCATGTATCGATAGATTTTTTGACAATTGCTATTTCAAGGTATAGAACAGGATAGAGGTTTGTAGACTACTGTGTCCGATCATGACTGGCTGATTCTACTGGCGTTTCTACTCGGGAACACCGATGAGTGACGGAAGTAGAAACAGCGAGCATTGGTCAGTTATATTCGTCGCGACACGGTAGGAAATTTGTTCGGCTTTAAAGACGGTGTTCCACTTTAAGCCTTATCTCGGCCAGTTGGTTTATTTTTTTCACCGCGTCGTTCTTGCGCCGGAGCCGTTGCTGTAGAAGCCACGCCGCTAAATACGGTTCGCTGGCAAGCGGCATCTTGACGCGAGACTATTAGCCGTGGTCCATAGAGGCGCCGATTATTCGGACGTAATGTCGGGCGGAAGTTGCGGCGGCGAACAGTTGATAACCGGCCCGTATCTCTAGGACTGTCGCTAGGGTTACCAGAATCCCGATGCAACTTCTAATTCAGCTTACTACCCCCGTTATAAATGACAGAAACCTCAATTTTAAGTCGAAAGCAATTTCCTTCGAACATGGTATAATAACATTTGTTACAGAAACGATATCGTTGCGGAAATTTCTGTTGTGTCCCCGCGCGCGATATCGTTTGCTTCCGCTTTAAAGGCGATCCTGCGTGTCCCCCCACTCCCTGTCCACGGCCCTTTCTATTTTTTATAACAGGCCGACACAGTGGTCGCAAATGCTTGCACGCGCAGCCCGCGAAACGAGGGCTCGCTCTCTCGAGAGCGAGAGACCCCCGTCTGGGTTCGCTCTCTCGTTGGTATTTCCAATTTCACAGAGCGTGGGTTAACGAGGCCCGAGGGCTGGAGAAGTTAGGGCGACCGAGCCCCTGGAACGTTCTCCGTCCCCGCCAAAAAGTGAGCCCGATGGTCCCACTGTTACACCTCTTCGTCCTCTCTTTCTCCCGCTCTCTCCGTCCCTCGGTGCGCACCCCTTTAAACGTGGGTACCCTATCGCGCACGGGGTTCCGGCACATTACCTTCGCTGATTACCGGCCTGCCCCGCGGAGTATGTCACCCAGTCACCCTCGAGACACATACCTTCCGGAATCCTGCGACCCTTTCCTACGGTCGGTTCCGTATCTGCGAGATAGGCATCGCAGGAAGCGTTCGAGACGAACGAACCAACGAACGACCGTATGCTTCGTTCTCGTGAGATTTAAGCGGTTCCCCGGACCCCCGGGGTTTGCGCGTCTCCGAGTTTGATATTGGATTTCACGCTGTAAAAACTATATTATGCACGCGAGGTTGCATGCTGCCCGACGGGAGTCCTTGTCTGTTGGTTTTCCCGTCGCCAAGGACTCTGCTGGGTTAAAAAGAAGCAAGGGATACCTTAGCGGTTGTTTTATTTACGGAGATGCGTTTCCATGTTTGCTTAGTTGAAATTTACCTAGCTAGGTTACCACGGTGGATAATTGTAACAGATTTTCATTGAGTAGGTTTCTTTTCAGTTATGGTTGAATTGAAATTCGGTTTCTTTACCTTACAGAGCAGCCCAAAGGTTGAACCTCTCGTCGAGCCCGCACCGTCGACGTCGCTCCGGCGACGAGAACATCAGCTCGGACGAGCAGCCAATCTTCCCAAATGGATACGCAGCTCTGCTTCTCAGGTCACCGCCTCCCGCGCCATCTGCTCTCCTGCGGAGGATAGGCGTCAAAGAGCTCACCGGGGTCGGCAAGGTAAGTTCATCATACCCTCTATTTCCTCGTATCGTGCTCTGCAACCACCACTTGTTCCGCGTCGTTGCAGAGCTTACGTAGACTAATTAACGTCTAGGCGCAGCCGTTCCCTCACCTTTCCGTACAATTTCCACGCGTCGAAATAAACATGGAACAGATCAGAGCCTAGGGTTGATCGAATCATTTTTACCGAGTATTTCGGTTTGTACAAGCACGTAAATCAGAATTTTGTCCATCGCTATTGTTAGGAACCTGTGTGTACACGTGTCAACGCTTAAACATGCATCCAATGTGCGAATAGTCTAATTCAGCTGAGTTGGTGGAGCGAGACGGAAGCAAACACGACTTCCGTTCGCCTCGGTTTGTCCACCGTTTACCGTAAATTCGCGCGCGTTCGAAACGACCTCGTGGCGATTCCGAATCCATCGTATCGCATTCCGTCCTGACGCGGGCACACGCGAGCTACCAGCGCGCGGCCTGTTTCCTCTTCGGAGTGGTATTTCTAGCACACGGACGTTCATAGCAGCGATGGGAGTGATACGGGTAGATGTCCATAATATACGAGCAATTCGATACCAAAGCACTCGACCCCTTCATTTCCACCGTAGCCAGTGGCTACGTATTCAAAATCGTTACTTCCGAATCTATCATTTCTCTTTTATTATTTGATATAACAGCGAGTTTGGATAACTGTAACAACCTTGAAACGCTTTGAAACGGTTATCCGTTTGTTCCGTAAACGTTCGATACTGTCCCACGCTAGGATACACTTCACGGAACTGACATCGATACTATCGATTCCATATCATTCCCATCGCTAGCCCATAGCGTTGCGCGGAAATCTTGGCGAGGGCATGCGATTTGAAATGCAGATGAGCGTCTCGCGCCGCTATAAGCCGCGCCTACTCCTCGCTCTTCCTCTTCCTCTTCCTCTTCCTCTTCCTCTTCCCGTTCCCGTACGGATTTTCCACCATCGCGACGCGTCCTTCTGCCCGCGATCGTCCTCCATCGCTTGAATATTCCTTTCGAAACGGATTCATGGATTCGAAACGGTTTCGGCGAGGATCGATTGGATAAACGCGAGTCTGGTGTCTTCCTGACGAGTATGCTAGGATATTTGAATGAGAAAATTAGTCCCGAGTTTCAAAGATGATTGCTTACAGGTTTCAGATCCGATTAAAAATAATAGCACGGTCCGATGCTAGCTACTTTATGATAGGGCGAATAATTTGAGAATAGAACATTAAAGAATTATGTCATAAACGGTGTAACAATCCAGTCGATGAGAGTTAAAATAGGGGAACGTTTCGTCGGGGATGAATGAAACCCCGTTTCGCGTCAATTCGACCTCTTTAAAAAAATACTTTCCGTTTATTCTGGACGGAGCGACGCCTATCCCGTAGAAACGCGTCGGTGTTATTCGAAGTCTGATAGCACGCCATCGAGAGGCTGTCGAAAGAGCTCGCGTTCTAGACATTCCAGTAAACCACGGACACGGCAGATAGTATTACGTAAAGGGGGATGCTCGTTACGCCGAGAGACGCGAAACCCTCGCGGAATAAAAGCCGCCGACGCGGGTCTCGTGGGCCGCGCGTAAGCCGACCGACGGAATTGTTGAAAATTAATTCATCAGAAATAAGGGCTTATTGTTTATCAGCCGGTAAAGCTAATTAAAACGGGGTGAGGTCGTAGGGATGAGAGAGGGTAGAGTCGAGAACGGTGGTCGGGTCTGTCTCCTTTAAAAGACGAGCCACATTGTTTCGCATCTGGCTTTATAAGCAACCGAGTACTTGCTTCCGTTTCTCTTCTCTCCGTTCCTTTCGGTTTCGGTCCACTCGCGTTCGCTCGGAAATCGAAATTTCCACCGATGACGAGTTAAAGGGGCTATGCCTTGACGAGGAATAGTCACAAATTCATCGACGTCGTTTCAATTTTTGATTCGTGTCTTTTGGTATCGATAAAGCGTACTTGCGAGTCGAGGGAAATCGAGCGGAAAACGATCGATTTTGAGATTAGACGGACAACATTACGGTTGCAGACACACCGATAGAAGCCAGCTTCGCCTCCGTAATTATCGTTTCTATGACAGGCGAGCAGAGCCCAGCCGGCCACCTCGCACACAGTCGAATATTTAGTGTCTCTATGAAGAGAGTAATTAAACCGCCGGTTGCGCGTCGAATACCGGCCAAACGCGGCTTTGCTTTGGCTTTCTGCTCGTATAGTTGCGAACCGTCTCTGTTCTGGCCGTTTCCAGCCCGGAGCTCTCGCATGTGCGCGTTTTACCGGACGCAAGAGATTTCGCTGCTCTTGGCCCGTCAGTCCCTCTGTCTGTCTGTACGGTTGCCCGTTACCTACGGTACTTCGCAGGGCCACACTGCCAGCTTCCAATTTGGCTTCCAGCCGCTTCGAACGAAGCCGACGCGACAAAGCTCCGCGCTCTGGTTTCGTCGTTTAAGTATAAACTCCTGTTTCGACTCCAATGACGTTTGCAGAGGCAAACTGTCTTTCGCTGTCCGCGAAACGAACTCGTTTTGCGTTCGTGTCTTCGACCAAAAGTGCTTTTGCGAAATCACCTTATTATATCGAAGCGTTTCATTTTTGTGATTTTTAATTGCAAAGCCATTCTTCCCACCGCTGGAACGACGAACATATTCCAACGCTCTTGTTAGTCGGTTTCATAGCCTTTTTGCCTCCTTTATCGATAAAGAAGAGTAGTCGAGCAGACTCTTGGCGCAAACATTCCGATTTCCGATGAATCCCGATCCAATATGCGTCCCGCAGGATCTCGACCCGCGAAAGAGAAACCTTGACCTTGGAAGATTGCGAGAAACGTTGCGAGCCAGAGGAAGATTCGGTCTGCATCTCCGACAAACGCAAAGTCAACAATCCATCGAAATCGAGAGAGGATGAGCGTGATTTTTATGGACTCTTACGACCGTGTACCGGCCGGTTTCTCGTTTTTTTCCCGAGTCTGGGTGTCTGGTCGAGAAGAAACGAACCCACGGGTCGAGGGACACCGAGAGGGAAAATACGAAGTTGGCCGGAATCGTGAGAGCAGGACGAAATGAACCGTGATCGCCGGTGGTCGTGGTTCCCATCCGGGAAACAACCGGGAACTCTCTTACGGACCCGATCGCCTCTAAGACAAAGAGACGAGAAACGCTAGATCCTCCCGCAGACGTATCCCTCGCCACTCGAACCAGGAAACGAACAATCCGATCGGGAATGAAGTTTTAAAGCTGAACCGAGTGGAATTCGGACTTATTTTCCGCGGGATCTAATCGAATAGGGTAAACGCACGAGTTTAAACGTACCGTAAACTATGAAACTACATCGTGCGCGTAAACTTTTCGATTCGAAAGGCATCGGTTCGTCGAAAATGTTCTTTTTAAGCCCGTGTTCGATTTGCGAAGTTATTTCAGCTCTTTTCCCTTCGATTTAATCGGAGTAGTTTTAACCGCGCCAAAGCTAGAAAGACGGGTCCTCCGTGGTAGGAAAAGTTCATCGGCAAATTCATTTCATCGTTCATGGACCGTCGAACGATGACGGCCACCTTTTCCGGCGGTCGATCTGGAAAAAACGCTCGTCCCCGTACTTTGTTAACGAAGTTTGTTAACTGCGCGCGAGACGAGCTTCTGGACGAGTTCGTTCCAATCAGACGCGGTAATTCGTTTCTCCGTTGGATTATTTCGACGACGAATCGCAATCGGCCAGGGATCGAATTTTAGCGGCGGAACGGAGTCGAGAAAGAAGGGAGCGTGGACATCCGCGGACGGTCGGCCAATGGGGCTGCGGCGTTTGGGGAGATAGATTTATAGGGGAGAAAGTGACCGTGGACGCGAGGCGCGGAAAGTTTTCCGGGAAATCGTTTCGCTAATTCGAGGGAATTGATGTGGCGGGCGGGCAGAGGGAACGCGGTCGTTTCCTTTGGAAGAAGAAACTTTTATGAGCTGGTCGATGTCGGTGAAGTACCGCCACTTATTACCTCCTCGATTATTCGTTTATTAATAGAGCATTCCTACGATCTTCCTCCTGTATTTCCCGTTCATTCGCGTCTTCGACCTCTCGCAACGTTTGTCGGAACGTCGCTTTGGTCCGACCAAAGGTGCCGCAGGTCTTTAAGAATCACTTCGGGAGAAGAAAGTGTTAAATCCATCGCAGGTATAACGCGCGAGAATCGATCGACCGTCGTTATCCTGGCACTACCTGGGGTTTAGGCGCGAGGACATGCGCAATTTGATCGAAGAAGCTGCTGACCAGGATGCGCCGCGGTCAGCGGTTTAAACCCACGCGTTTGCCAGGGTTTATTGAAATGTCCGGTCTTAGGCGGGTTGCTCCGTCGTCGGGTACAAGACGAAAGGGATGCTGGACACCCTCGTCGGTCCCGACACCCTCCGACCTCGGAATACCTAATGAGGACTTTTGATTTCGCCCGAGCCAGGGCCTCGAGAAACCTTACCGAATCCTGGCCAATTGCACGTGTCATTAGACGCGATGGGTTGATCCGTTATTTCAAAGTTGACGATGTCCTTCGAGCCCTAGATTAGCCTTAAGCGAGAAACAACCTCGACAGCGTGACGTGGCAATGTCAGGACAGGTTTTAGATAAAAGGAAATCGAATATGTTCACGTTTGGTTTCTTCTGGGATTGGTATCGATTTTTAGGGAATCTTTTAACGAACAATTAATATTCACCCCTTTGTTTCACCAGCGTCACGAAGCTGCTCGGATAAAAATAATTTCGCGGCCCTTTTTAATTCGATTTCACGCGATTCCACTCTAATAGAAGACAATAACAAGGTCTCACCGATGGGGTTATTTTAATAATGAATTAATCCGAGGGGCGCTGTGGGCATCGGGAAGACTGACATAGGGGTGTTTGCGGCCGGTCCGTAGGGAACACGGGTACCACGTGGGCCACGTGGTACCCACAGGATAATTGGAGGTCACTGCGGTTTTAGGGACTCCTGTGGCCCCTTCCGGGCCGTTCTACGGAAACCC